GATTCATAACAGTAGCAAAATTACAGTTATGAAGTAGCAACGAAAATAACTTTATGGTTGGGGGTCACCACAACATGAGGAACTGTATTAAAGGGTCGCGGCATTAGGAAGGTTGAGAACCACTGGTGTAGAGGAAGAAGAGAGTCTAGCAGCCTAATGAGCTCTCTCCTTACCCTCCAGGCCTGGATATGGAGGCATCCCCCCATCACCTGCAGACCAAGGCCTACGTGCGCCAGTTCCAGGTCATCGACAACCAGAACCTCCTCTTCGAGCTTTCCTACAAGCTGGAGGCGAATAGTCAGTGAGAACAGACGTTTCAGTCAGCCCCGCAGGGTCCTCGGGCACCTGCCACTCAAGCACTTTGCACCGTGTCCCAACCCACCTCCGACATCTTTCCCCTGGAGCAACTTCCCGCCCCACCACAGGGAAGAGAGAGTCGGATGGACTTACTCTGGGACTCATAAGCCTGTTTATCCTGCTGAAGTCCTCTGCCCCCTTGCTCCTTCAAGCCCAGACCACGCTCTGCTGGCCCCTGCCCTCCCAGGGAAAAGGGGCACAGAGCTCTTTCCTCTGCCCCTTCCCATCGAGGTCTATTCCCGAGTAGAGTTCCCAACCTCCTCTTCCCACGCAGCAAGGAAAGTGGCCCACCCTCTGGTCCCCCATTGGGGGAGGCCTGGCAGCCTTCCCCTCCACCCCCTGTTCCAGTTCCCCCGGGTCGGGGCTGGGCCCCCTGGCTGCACCCTCTGAGTATTATGTTGCCCTCGTGTCTGTGTGCGTGTGGGCATGTGTGTACGTGTGCCCCCCTTCAAGGAGCAGAAGTGCACCTGGTCATTGAGGCAGGGTGTTGTGTGTGCTAGGGGGGTGAGGGGGAAGGTCCTTCTGTTTGGTGCTACCCTTGTCTACTCTGCCCCTGGGTCAGTGCATTGTGGGTGCTTTCCCCAGGCCCACACTCCCTGCTCAGTTACTCCTGCTGCCCTGCACCCCCGGGTTTGTGGGCGAAGCTGCTGGTGGGGACAGGGAGCAGCGGCAGGTGGGAGGGGTTACCCACCAGCCCTCGGGAACCCCCGCACCCCAGCCAGGCCTCCTGAAGGTCCCTGGGTGGGCTCCACTGAGAGGATAAAAGATGCTCAGGGAAACACAGGCCTACGCTGCCTCTAGGACCCGCCTTCTGTGTTCCAGGGGGATGTGGTGAGGTGGTAGCAGGAGTTAGGGGTACCTGCCGCCCACACTCCTTCTGGGGTGTCTCACTGCTAAGGAGGGAGTCGTCACCCCCCTCTGGCTCTGTGTCTGACACTAAGAACATGATCTATCCTTTGCCCTGTCCTGACTCCCTCTTGGTCCTCCCCGTCAAGCTGGGGTGGGGTGGATCCCTGTCCCTGGGGGCAGGCAGACCCCCAAAGTGGGGGAAGGAATGGCGGAGACTATAAAGGCAGACTGGACTCTAGCGATGCCTTTATTGCCTCTGTCACCCCTCCCGCTCCCATCGCGGGCCTCCCAGGCTGAGGGGTGCAGGGGCTCCTGGCAGCTAGTGGGTGAGATTGCCAGGCGCAGCCTCACCCTCCTTTCTGGCACCACCTCTTTCCCTTCTGAAGAGGCAGCAGCAGCAGCAGCAGCCGAAGCAGCAGCTGCTGTTCCTGCTCTGAGGATGTATATATTTTTTACCCAAAGCTCTGGAATTGTAATTTTATTTTTTAAAACTCAAAAGAGGGAAAGAGCCTTGTATCATATGTAAACAGTGTACCATAGGTTATGTTGTACAGTCCCTTTTATACAGTGGCCTGTCTTGTTCCTGCGGCAAAAAATGTCTATGGATCCCCGCCCCCACCGCCGCAGCTGATGCA